CTAAGAGAACAGTATTTTATGTTTATCGAATGCGAATACACAAGAAATGACATTAAAAAAAAATCTTGAATCCTATCTCTTACTTTTGTTGTGACAGGTGTTCCAAGTCAGACTCAGACCGAACTGAACAAACGTTTTGTGAATCACTTGTTTCAGCTTGAAAAATCCAAGATTGGTCTGCTGTGTGTTATGTTAGCAGTGCAGATCCCTGCGGAGCACATGTACCACTAATGCACTGTTCACATGAAGGCTGAAGCCACTTTCATTGATAACAGTGGAGGTGTAGTGTTGCAGCAGGTATTGTTTGGTAGTTGACATTTTCACAACAAACAACACAACAAACCAATACTGTTACTTGCTGGCCAGGGTCCTTGTGAAAACGTTGAGTATCAAAGACAGTGTGTGTGTGTGTGTGCACGTGCGCACGTTCATGTTCTTTGCCTTTCTGATTGACATCAAACTTGCTAGGGTTTGCTTGGGACCAGAGGGAGTGCAGTGTGGATTATGTAGTTGTGTAGACAATAGGTTAATGAAAAACATAAAGAGTTACACATTAATGGCAGTCCATGGACTAATGCAGCAATGGACCGACATAATCAACTACGATAATGGTGCGTTGCAGCCAGCTAATCCTTGGAGAACACACTACACTACAAGACCTTGTCAGTTTTGATCTAAAGTACAGAAATATTTCCAACAGAGACCAACAATGTGGTGGTCTGTATGAATAGCTAATCACACGTCCAGCAGCGGCTGCCGAGACAGACACACTGTCCTGGTGACTTTTTGTTGAAAACAAAGCATGATGTAGGTTGTTAAGATTTTCAACACACAGAACATGTTTTGTCAGGGGCATCACTTAAAATAGATTTTCATGTTTAAAAAAAAAAAAAAAAAAAAGTCACTTCCAAAAACAAAGACATTTCTGCATCGCTGCTGTCATGGTAACACAACACTGCACCATGCACCATCTTAAACTGTTCTGTTTCATATTTTCTGTTTTCTTTAACTGCCTTGTTTGAAATGGCTTATACTAACATTACAGATAATTTGTAAATCTTTCCAGTCATTTTCTTTGCCCTACATTGATACCAAAACACGGTCATGCCTTCCACCTCTGCCTCTTAGTTGCCAGCTATCCTTCCTTTCCCTTTTCCCTCATGTGGGCGTGACTGAGTTGTGTGCAGACATTTGTGTATCACTCCAATTAGGTAATCAGCTGAGTGAGGACTCCTGGCCCTGGGAGTAGCTTATCTGCAACTAATCACCACCGCCTGCCATAAAACACTGGCTCAGATCACCATTTGAAGCCAGACTATTGATCACACAACAGTCAGTCAGCTCAAGCCAAATACTTCTGCTCTGTTGCTCTCTGCTCTGGTTCAACCTGCTTTTCCCTCTGCCTAGTTCTCCAATCTGCTCCTTGCCTGCACCACCATCTTCACGCTGCTACCCTCCGATGCACTTGCTACCACAGACCTTGGCCTCTTTTGACTCCTTGGGGTATCTTGGATGAGCTTGGTGTAATTTACTCTTGAGCAGTTTTGTGCTGTACTGCGCATTCAGTTCCTGCTTCTTTGCATTTGGAAATCTGTCCGTAGTTTAGGCTACTGATACTGTGTCTAGCCCTGTGGTACTTGGTTCTGGTCAGTAAACCCTTCTGTCTGGTGTCTGTGTATTCTCAGAATTAAGTCTGTAAGATGTTTAGAATTGTAGCAAACCTGAGTAGTTTGTCCTTCGTTTGTTCCAGTAGTGTTAGCATTTCCAGGTCAACCTTCTAGCATCAGCTCTGTAGTCAAACTACTCCCCTTATTCTACTCCAGAGGTCGCTAGAGTATTTTGTATTATCTTGTGTTGTTTCTTTGTAGTTTATATATTTAGGGCTTCAAGTCACATATTTAGGTACAAATACTCCAGGTCAGGGGAAGGGCTGCTATCATACAACGTGATCGCATTAATCTATGTATTCTTTTGAATTTGAGATCCAGTATTTTTCTTCTTGCAAATCGGTTCTATTATAAATGTCACAACAAAGCAGTTATATGGACATGAGATGTCAATGAATATATTTGAGTTTAAAAAAAAATCTTTAGAACACTGACATTAATCAAAGAACAACAGTTACATCAATTAATAAAAAATAACCATTAGCTGCAGCCCCAGACTACGCTCTACTCAAAGTCAAGCAGAAAGAGCATTGGAGTTAATTCACTCTCAGTCTCACAGATGGTGAGAAAGCTAAAAGCAGTATCAGAAGCCAAGCTAACAGCCCGGTCCCAACAGGTACGTTTTGATTAGGTAAATTACTTAACACACTTTACATTTGCCCACAGAACTTTTTCTCTAAATGACAGCAGCTAACGGAAAAAGTCTAACGGAAAAACATGAAAATATGACTTCAGCTCACAGTAAACTCCCTAACGGGCCGATTACCTGTAGGCTGCAGAGGCAGATCATGCTGTACATCATCTGGGTGACACAGAAACAGTGGCGGAAGTTGTGGAAGGGATTATTTCTGTAGTTGTCATGAATACACAGCTAGAAATAGAAAGAAACGTATTTTTTTACCACAGAAACACCCCCCAAAAAACAACACAAAAGATGGAAAGTGTGTTATCAGCTTCTGGACATAAAAGTAGTTTATTATTCTGTTCTGGAAAGACTCATTTAATGTAGAGGCTGTTGGTATGTTGCATCAGTGTTTGAATTTGCAAACATACATTATTCTATTTACTATTTAATATCATTACTAAAATTATTATGGATTATTTTCACATTGTTTTAAATTTTTAATTTCTTCCAAATGTCTTGAACATTTGTAACGTTTAACTTCCCTATAGAAACCAATAAACTTTTTTTTTTTTTTTCAATTTTAATTCTGAGCACTGTCCTTGGTCCAGGTCTCACCAGCCATCTCTTGAGTGTGATTGGATTGATACTGAAGTCTTTGACCAATCCCAGGTCATGGTACATATGTTCCAGACAGCTCAGCATCTGGAAGAACAAAGGAACACATCAGCATTGTCTGTATACAACAAGAGCTGAACATATAATGACATTTGGTTTTTGTCTTGTTTTTGATGTCACAAATTCAATAAACGGTATACACTGATGTGAACCATTTCACAGTCTCCCTTTTGAATGTAAACTAGAACTTTTTTTTATCATAACAGTGCAGTGTAATATGCACTTCACATTTAAAAGATGGATACAAGCTGAAGGACCATTCGATGTTTGATTATTGCCCTTCTTAAGTAACCAAGTTCAAAATATGAGCACAAAACAACAGCAAATACAGTGCTGTGAAAAAGTATTTGCCCCCTTCTCAAATTCCTATTTTTTAAAAATATTTCCCCCACTTAAATATTTAAGATCATCAAACAATTCTAAATATTAGACAAAGATAACCAAAGTAAACACAAAATGCAGTTTTTAAATTATGATTTAATGTTTTAAGGGAAAAAGCTATCCAAACCTACCTGGCCCTATGTGAAAAAGTAATTTCCCTTCTTGTTAAATCATGAATTAACTGGGGCTAATCACATTTTTTAGAAAGCTGAGTTCGATTTCATTGACCACACCAAAGCCTGATTACCTCCAGACCTGTTCAATCAAGAAGTCACTCAACTATAACCTGTCTGACAGAATGAAGTTGGCCAAAAGATCTCAGCAAGCTGCAACAAAATGCTGCGATCCAAAGAAATTTAGGAACAGATGAGAAATAAAGTAATTGACATCTTTTAGTCTGGAAAGGGTTATAAAGCTGTTTCTAAAACTTTAGGACTCCAGAGAAAACATGGAACAGTGGTGAACCTTCCCAGGAGGCCGGCCGACCAGAATGACCCCAAGAGCAAGGCGACAACTCATCCAGGAGGTCACAAAGGAACCCAGCTTAATCCCAGTTCAGCGCGATTAGCCAGCCTCACCCTGTTGCAGCACGAGAGCACACATCCATCCATCATCTACACACCGCCTAGTCCTCACTAGGGTCATGGGGGGCTGGA